CAGCAAAGCGAAAACGTTGTGGGTGGTCAACTTGCTTTAACTCCTGAACAAGCTGGACTTTGTATGCAAATATACCGAGGTCTTTGTGCAGAATCATCCTCAGAGTGGTACGGGAAAGGCGGAGTTGTTGACATCTGCGCCGAGTTGATGTTGACGCGTTCATGCGTACATTTTCGGCCACAGCAGCGATTTCTTCAGGTGTACGTCTAGGACGAGCATGCGAAACATGTTTTATGTCGAACAGCATTCCATTTCTGCGCAATTTTTTTATGAAATTTGTAATACTTTGGTTTGACGGCGCCTCATTTCTTCCAAACGCAATTTTCTTGCCGTCTCTGCGATCACAGTCATATTCAAAGTAAGTTTTGAGTATTTCGAAACGTTGATCCAAATTTATTCGGTGCATATTTTGTAATCGGAAGGTTAAAACTAAACCACTGTCAGCAATTCATGGCGCTTAAGTTGAAAGCTTCATTAATAGCACGCAGTTTAAAATTCAACTTATAGATGGCCCACCCTTTATATATATAAAAATAGTTTTTGCTTATAATTATCGAAATTTTTCTCATTTAACTTAATTTTTTTTTAAACATATTGCATGAGTGTAGATATTTCACTTTTAGTTGATAGATGGCTAATGTAACCTGTAAAATACTTGTTGGGTTTTTGACTTGTCAAATATATCAAGTTTCTTCATTTCGGTTTTGTCCGCCGAATTTAAAAACGTTCAAAGGGTTTCAGTGTTCTTCATTTATCATAAACAAAAATTTGGTTGGAAGACCCGCCTGTATGGTTAAACAGTCAGCTGAATCTCTAAAATTATGCAGTTCCTGCCATACACAGCTGCTTAGAGGAAAAAGTCACAAATGCAGCAAAAAAGTTAAAATAGAAAACTCAATTAATTTAATCGCGGATCCGGATACCAAACAACAAGTTGTTAGCCAACGAATTAATGAAGGAGATTGTTCATTCACTTTAAAGAAAGGCAGGTACAAACATGAAAGTAAAAACAGCGAACCATCTACTTCCAGTTCTGTTAATATCAATACACTTAACAATATTAGGGAAGTCTGCAACTTGTCTATTAATGCAATTGTCAAGATTGCTCAACATTTACGGGTTGCAGATAACAATTTGGTCGAACGAGACGTCAAAAGAAAAACTCTCAAGAACAGAGCTGCCAGATATAAAATGTTCTAAAAATTCAGATGCATTACCATTCTTCGTACATTGTAGTGATCTTCCTGGTTTGATGGTTTTGCAGAGCAATAAAACGAGCAAAGTAAATTTCCAGTTTATACAAAACGTCTATTTAAAATAAAAAAAACTTCTTATATATAACAACGTCACAACCGCCGCCTTATTTTTATTTTATAATATTAACACTTTCCCCAATATCTTTTAATAACTGTTGCAACCAAAGAATTTCCTTAACTGCATTCGAGGCTGCAATATATTCTGCTTCAGTAGTTATAGAGAAACACTGTATGGTTTCTTACTTGACCAAGTAATCGGTTCTCCGCACAGCTTGAAAACTTTGTTTTTTCGTTTTTATATAAAATACCAAATCCTTGTGTTGCAATTAAATAACGAATAACTCTTTTAATTGCATTCCAATGTGTTCTTGTATATCCACTCACATATCTACTCAAAACTCCCACTGCATGAGATATAAAGGGTCGGGATACTGTAGATAAGAAATAATAATAACTTCTTCATTTTCCAATGACAGGTCACAGTTTGGGTCTTCTGGCATATTACAAGGATTTGCATCATCTAATTTAAACCTTAAAATTATCTGCTTTATATAACTTCTTTGATTAATAAAGATTGCACCTGTATTTGGATTCCTTGTTACCTCTAAACCAACATAATAACGCAATTCACTCGTGGTAATTTCGAAAGCATTTTTCAGTTGTTTTAGAACCTCTTCTATAACATCTTTTGAAGAAATTACCAATCCATCATCAACAAAAATTACGAGGATAATTTTAATACTTTTTACGTATCCTTCATACACGCACTTATCAGCTAAGGATCTCTTGAACCCAAATTGTTGAAGAAAAAACATTAAAAGTTTTGTTCCAGTACCTTGGTGCCTGCTTTGCACACCAAATTTTTATTATTATTATTTTTCAAGCCATCTGGAATGTGCATGAAAACTTTTTCTTCAAGTTTACCGTATAAAATGCGGTCTTCACATCAAATTGCATTATTTCATAGCAATTTTCAGCAGCTATTGCTAAAAGTACACGAATTGAATCATATCGTGTTGTGGGAGCGTATATTTCATTATAATCAACCCCTTGTTTCTCTGCACATCCTTTTACACACAATGTTGCTTTGTAACGGGAAATTTGACCGGTCGGATGTCTTTTTACTTTAAAAACCCATCTTGATTGTAAAATTTTCTTGTCGGATGGAGTTTTAACAATGTCCCACGTTTCGTTTTTCTTTAATGCTGTCAATTCTTCTGTAATTGCTTCCTGCCACTTTGGAGCATCACCTAACATAGTGCTTCATCGTATGTTTGAGGTACCTCGATTTCTATAAAATTTTAATAATTATCATCAATCTGACAGGTGTTCTGATACTTCGTTGTGATCTTAACCTTGGCATCTCAGAATATGAATCCTCAGGAACTCTATTTTCATAATCTTGCTCATTAACAGCTGGAATTTCAGGATCAATTACTTCTTGAATATTGTTTTTTGAATAATCTATAATATCATCAACATCTAATTGAAACTTCGCAGATTTCTGCAAGTCAAAACATCCTGTAGATTTTTCATTAAAAATCACATTTCGAGAAATTGTTTCTTTGTAACTGTATCAAAAAGTCTGTAATTTGTGGAATTGTTATCATAACCAACAAATAACAATTTTCTACTTTTTGTATCTATAGTTTTTTTAGTTTCACATCTGGTATATGCACATAAGCATCACTTTCAAAAACCTTTAAATGTCCCAAAAATGGTTTTTGTTCCGGCGTATACGGCGCAGTTAACTCGAGAGTTATTCCTTCTTGGTTTAAATATTTTTTAAACTCTAAATTAGTATACTCTGTTCCATTGTCCACATGTAAAATATTTACAGGTTTCCCAAATTTGTTTTTTATTTTCTGAAATTTTAAAACACTCTAATGCATCTAATTTATGTTTTATAAAGTACACAACTCTATAACAGGATGCTTCATCTTTCATCAACATGAAGTATCGTGAGCCCAAAACGGAGTTAACACTTATGGGTCCACAGAGATCACTATAAAAACGTTCACCTGGTGTTGATTTATAGTGTTCATTTTTCTTCTTAAATGCACAAGTTTCACAGAAAAAATTGTCTACTTTACTCAAATTTACTCTAGATATTAAACCTTTATTTACCATTTCTTTTATGGCTGTAGTATTTAAGTGTCCAAGTCTTTCGTGCCATATTTTTAAACTTTCACCTACCACGACTTTTGCTGATTCCGATATCGCACGAAATAGCATTTTATATATATTATTCGAATCCTTTACTGCGACTGCAATCACTCCCGTTTTATCAAGAATTTCAGCATAATCACCTTTTTGGTAATTTTCATGCCCTTGCTGGTCACAACTCCCTCCGAAAATAAATTATTTTTAAGCTCAGGAATATACAGCACATTATTTATAGTTGCATTATACCACTCGCCGTTTAGTAACTTTTGTATCTTCACTGTACCTTTTCCTTCTACTCTTAGTCTTTCACCATTTCCCAATGCAACTGAACTACTTATATTTTCATCTAGTGTTGAAAAGAAATCTTTTCTGTGAGACATATGACCGGACGCCCCACTATCCATAATCTAATAATCATTCCAAGTTACATTATTTACAAAATTTTTTATATTGAATGCACTCTCCTGTGTACCATGGTATATACTGCAGTATAAGCAGTTTTGCCGCTTCCATCTTTGTCATTGTTTCTGTCTCTATATTCCTTCTCTTTGTAATATTTATTTGGCCTTTGTCCTGTTTTATTGTATTTGCACTTTCTTGAAAAATGTCCCTTTTTTCAACAATTATAACAAATATCAGTTTTCTTTTTATCTTTAAAAGTAACAGCAGCCATTGCTTGTTTTGTTTCTTCATATGTTGTCAGATTTTTCTCCTCATCTAACAGTCTTGCTGTTAAGTTTGATATATTTTGTTTGGACTCATCTAACGGAAGTTTCTAAATTTCATGGGAAGAGTACTTATTATTTTCATCATCACTGCTGCATCACTTACTTGTTCACCAGCTTCTTTAACTATTTTGGCAAGATTTTCAACTTTTGCCACGTGTTGAGAAATACTGTCAGTGTTGCTCATTTTATATTGATGAAAACGTTCATGTACAATCATCTTGTTGGTTTCACTCTTCTGCATATAAATCGATTCCAATTTATCGATTATTTCTATACTATTATCACAATTTTCTATCAAAGTAATTTGACTTAAATCCATGGCAGCCGTCAACATAAACATTGCCTGGGCATCTTTTTTTGCCACATTTCCTGCTCATCACTAGCCCCTACTGGAATCATCTTGCTTCCATTGGCTATATTCCATAATCCTTTTGCTTTTAGGGCACATTTGATTTGGAATTTCCATTGCATGTAATTATTCCCATTAAACTTATTAATGGAAAAACTTTCTAGGACATTTTGTATTTTTTTATTTCACGTACACAACGTGCTTTGCTCACCAAAGCAGTCCTACGATACACGTTTATCTGTTTTTCAGATACTCTGGGCCCATAACCTTTTGCAGAGTAACAAAACGAGCAAAGTAAAATTCCAGTTTATACAAAACGTCTATTTAAAATAAAAAACTTCTTAAACATTACAACGTCACAACCACCACCATATTTTTATTTTATAATATTATATATATATCCAAATTTTGTGGAATCATATGATAATATAAAAACCCTGCTAGCCTGCTATATGTGGGGTATGTCCTTATAGTTTTGCAGCAGATTTCAAGCTATTTATGATGCTTCTTGGACTGCAGAGTAACTCTTCAGCACATCCATGCCCTTGGTGCAACATAAGTTCAAAAAAACTAAAAACCGTAGGTTCTTCTAGAACTATCGAGATAATTTTAAATCAGTTTCTAAGGTGGCATAAAGAAACCAAGGGACAGCTCTCGCATGCAAAACAATATGGTAAGTCAAAATATTCATTTTACTTTAAGCATTAATAATATAAGATTCTGTATTTATAATTTTACTTTTACTTTTAGAAAACTGTATCGGTTTGCCTTTGTTGGTTGGAGACTCGGACAAACCAGTGCTCCACTACATACCTCCCCCAGAGCTCCATATTCTTTTGGGTATTGTACAAAAATTGTTTGATACATTGAAAATGGAATATCCTGAGGTAGCACTAGAATGGGTGAAGAGATTGTTCATAGGTTTTTATCACTATGGAAAATTCAATGGAAACAGCGCCAGAAAAATCTTGAAAAATGTCGCCATTTTGGAAACACTCCATCGGTAAGTATATAAAGAGTAAAGCATCATTCTTAAAGTTTAATTGATTATTTTCTTACAGGCAACAAATACGCGGCTGTGTTTTCTGCGTTTAACAATGTGGTCAGCAGTTGTTTTGGACGGATTTTAGATAACAACTAAAAAAATATATTTTTCAGTTTGACAAAGAGTTGGAAAAAGCCAATATTTTTCCTACGCCGAAAATTCATGCTTTAGTGCATCACGTCCCAAAGTTTATAGAGCTGTATCAGAGGCCACTAGAATGTTTTTTTGAGCAGGCTTCGGAGCAGGTTCATCACTCATTCAATATGTTAGAAAATTATTTTAAGTAAAATGAGAAAAATTTCCATAATTATAAGCAAAAACTACAAAAACAGACACCTAATGTATTTTTTTTATTTTGTTTATGTTTATCTATATAAAAGTATATTATTATTAAGATTATTTTCTCGTTATTTGTCTGTTATCTAGGTAGTTTGGTATTTGTGTTATGCGGTTGGACGTAGTCCTAAACAATTGTAAAGTTTAATTATAGTTATGTTGAGTTTCTTAATGTACGTAGTTTTCTTTATTAAATTTATATATACAAGGTGTCCCTAAACCTATTGGTATAAATTTAGGAAAAGATTGAGCAAGTCAAATAAGTATTTTTCCTAATTACTTATGTTTCCAAGATACAGGGTGATAAAGTGTTACTTATCATATCAGTCTTTTTAATAGGGATAGAACGATATCACTTTTTTTTGCCGGTACGATATATCGGCCGATACCGATATTTACGTGCCGATATACCGATATACCGATATATCGTATCGGCAAACATAATGCAATCTATTTATACACGACCGAAGCAAAAATTGGGGAAGTCCCGTATTAATTCCGTTGCTAGGAAACGTTTGTGATTGGTAGTGAGTGACATTTTGGATTTCTGGGAAGCCCCTTATACAGTGTGTATTAAAACGAATAAATAAAACAAGTGCCAAACCCCGCCCACTGTGGTAGGGATTGAGAATTTATAGGTTTTATTTTTATCGAATTAAATTTTAAGTATTAAGTATATACTGTATTTAGTACCTGCTACATTAGGTATATTTGTTGTAAGTGGTGTTAGGATTTGTTTTACTTTTTTAGTAAAAATGTTACCTTTAGAATAAATTTTTTTATTTTGTTTAATAAAGTATTTCAGCCGATATATCGGCAATTATCTTGCCGATACGATACGATACCGATAATCGGAAACAATTGCCGATATGCCGATATACCGATATCAATATCGGTATCGTTCTATCCCTACTTTTTAATATAACCTCTACTATGGTAGTCTTGAAAAGGTGATTTTTTCGAACAGTCAATTACTACTAAAACACATATTTACACATAATTATAATTGTTTGAGTGAATACAGTGTCGTAGAAACGGGAGTTGCTTTAAGCTTATTGTCCCATACAAACTTTGAGGTTAGGTTTTTAAAACATTTGATGCAATTTTTCGATTACTCAGTTCGGCTACAATTAAAAGGTATAACTCTAAAAAATCTATAAAATAAACTGTTTCCGAGATATTCGAGATTACAATAATTGTTATATCGCATTATTTAAAAGGATTGAAAGGTATATGATAACAAATTTTATTTTTTAATTGAAAAAACTAAAAAGGGCATTCCAAGAGCTTCGGGACTTTTTGCCCTGGCCGTCACATTAAAAAAATTGTAGTTTTTTCAATTAAAAAATTTGTTATCATATACCTTTTAGTCCTTTAATGCGATAAAACCACAGACCAACAAACAAATGGACCGGTTTATTTACATTGAAAAGAGTGGAAAGGAACAAAAATAAATATTTTCCCTCAGTTGTCACATCTGACTTTATTTGCTTTGGAGTATCTATATTTTACGTAAAAGATACTTGCAATCCACAACTTATTTAATATTTTTTATTTGATTTTATAGTGAAAAATACCAATAGTGAGTGATATAAAAATGATGAAGCAGTGAATCCAAGAATTTAAAACTTTCTTTTCATAGGTTAGTTTATTTACAAAACAAACCCTGCCAGGGGCGTAGAAACTGAATAAATAAATGAATTCACTTGAATTTTAGATTTAAAGAGCCAGATTCTACATCATCTGGAACACTAACTGACAAGGTTAGTATTTTGTTATACCTATATATTTATATATATATATCAAATACAAAGGATTGCAAAACACAATAAAAAATGTACAATTTAATATTTTAATTTATCCCTAAAAACGGAACGCCACTGGTGTGGGAACTTGTTTATAAATATCCCTTACTCCTTTACCCCTAATCTAAATAGTTCTTGGCAACAAAACATTGTGTATTTTGAATGGGAAAGGCCAGTCCATTTTGTTTGTAGGCCTGTTTGAGAGGTACACCTTTTGAATAGTAGCCAAACTGAGTAATCGAAAAATTGCATCAAATGGTATAAAAACCTAACTTCAAAGTTTGTATGGGACAATAAGCTTAAGCAACCCCTGTTTCTACGACACTGTGTTCACTCGAACAATTGTAACTATGTGTGAATATGTGTTTTGGTAGTAAGTTACTGATCGCAAAATATCACTTTTCCAAGTCTACCATAGTAGAAGTTATATTAAAAAAACTGATATGATAAGTAACACTTTATCACCCTGTATCTTTTAAATATACGTAATTAGGAAAAATATTTATTTAGATTTTCGTCTTATTTTGACTTGCTTAATCTGCTCCTAAATTTATGCCACTAAGTTTAGGGACACCTTGTATATTAGGGTGGTCGTTAAAATTAAATTTTTTGCGCGCCCCCTAAAAAGCTTCTTTTTGATGAAAAAAAAACAACACGTGCCTCAAGACGATCTAAGTTAATTTTTTGGTATAATCATGTTTTTTTGGCAATTTTTTATGAAAAATAAAATTTTATTCGATATATAAACAATTATAGAACTTAAATCAATAAAAAACAATAGTTAATCGAAATAACAATAGACAAAAATTTAAATTCAAATTTTTTCCCAGTTGATTTGGTCTATTAAACAAAAAAATGAAAGATATTCAAATTGATATTTTTATTTTAAAACTTAATTAGTAGGTACAAACGTAATTTTAATATCTAGATTTTTTTACTCCAAGGTGAAGTTATTTCATTGTTAATAATTTTTAAATCTCAAAAAAAATATTATTCCATATTTTCAGAAAAGACATGATTAAAAAAATAATGTGCCAAATTGCAAAAATGGAAAAACCATGGAATTGACTAGAACTTTGATTTTGACCTCAAATAACTTTTGAACCAGTCAAGTTAGCAAAAAATCACAAGAAACCTTTTTTGTAGAGCGTTAAATTTGTTACAAGAATATTTATCCTTCTATATAATCAGTTTATTAATTCATGACTTAAAAAAATCCAAAGTAATAACAGAACTTTTCCCATGTTAATTCCATTTAAAACTTTGGCTGTCGGGGGGGCCGGCTTAATTTTAAAATTAAGAGTTGCAATTTGGCACATTATTTTTTTTATATATTTGGAACCTATTTAGGACTATCGTGAAGAAAAATTCGAACACACCCTAAATAAGGACTACCCTAATATATATATACCGTACCTTCATTAGCAAGCTAACCATAGGGAAAATACATTGTAACTGGACCAGATAAGTCTTAGTCAGCACGAAGCGAAAAACGTTGTAGAAATGATTTGGACGCGTGGACGAGTAGGCTAGCATGCGCCGTAACAGTTGACCTTGCTTCATACATCGATGCTTTATTATTGTTTTTTATTTTGTGCGGTGTAAATCTGGTAAAATTTGTTTTAGTACGCATGTCTCGACGACGCATCCAAATCATTTCTGAAAAGGTTCTCGCTTTGTGACTGCGACTTATCTGGTCCAGTTACAATGTATTTTCCCTATGGTTAGCTTGCAAATAAAGGTACGGTATATATATATATGTATATAGCGAATTGCTGTCACTAGAACACATGTTAAGCTAACTGTTGCGCATTAATTTATAAAAAAATACATTTACGTGTATATCTCCAGAACGTCTACATACGCTTTAATTTTTCTTGCAAAGTAAAGCTACGAAAGCGTACTGGGGTCACAAAATTATAATAAAATTATTTTTTTCAATATATTGCATTTATTTCCAATACATTGAAAATAAATCCAATATATTGGAAATAAATTCAATATATTGAAAATAAATCCAATATATTGAAAATAAATCCAATATATTGAAAATAAATCCAATAGGTATACTGAAAATAAATTCAATATATTGAAAATTTGGCTTTCTTTTTTACTACTAATTTCCATTTTGTCGCCGCCGGTAATGCAGGTACCGTTACTGTCATATTTTATGTCAGTTGACAACACATTTTCTTGGTTTGTTTTGAACTTACTTAAATAAAAATTAATAAATATGAATGAAGAAAAAGCTTGCATTTATTGTGACCGGTCATTTTCTAATAAATATGTAAAATTTAATAAGATATCTTTAATTATGCACATTGTGCATAAATAAAGTGAGTTCATATTTTAAATTTTAAGATATATCTTTATTTAAGCACATATATGTGCATAAATAAAGTGAGTTCATATTTTAAATTTTAACATTTTCCTCGTTAAATGAGTAATATTCGTGGAAGACCAAGAAAGAAATCGAAACTATTACGAAATTCCTCTATTTTATGTCAGTTGACAACCACGGGCGCCGGAAGGAATTCGTCTAGGGGGGCCTTAAAGTTTTTTACAATTTTGATAGATGTTATTTATAATCAAGTTGTACTAATAATAATAATAATAATAATAACTTTATTAACGGTATGACCAATTTACAATATATATACAAATACAAGAATCCTATACAACACAATGTAAACAATGCAATAAATATATACACATATACATATATTACGACACGTTAAAAATTCGTTCTGAGCTTATGTTTAAATGTTGGCAAAGAAACATTAAAAAAGTCTATTTCTAGCTTATTCGCATTCGCACATATTCGATTTAGTGGCATAAATCTAGCATAGTCTGTTCTTTGTGTTTTTAAGTAAAACAAATTTTTTTGCCTCGTTTGCCTTTGAGGAATA